TTTATTTCTCATAAATATCCTCATATTAAAGGGCTTCATTATAGGCCTTCAATATTCAGTATTCTATTACAAATCTGTTAGTTTTCCCCACTAGAATTTAAGTTCAATTAGAGCAGGGCTTTGACCTGGCATGGTCACTCCTGAATTCCTAGCACCTAGAACAATGCCAAACACATAGTAGGTCTCAAGAGATGTTTGTTGAATGAATTTGATGATGTCAGAGGGTAACTTTCTCTTTCTGCGTATTCTATATGCCTGTGTGCTGGTTTCCTGAGGTTTTTGTGCTTGCTCAGCCATATCCATGTTTGGGTTCATTGAAGTGATGATTACCAATCTACTTTTGTTTGACTATATCCATCTGTTTAGTCCAGAATTTTCTGCATCTGTACTATCTGGAGAGTTTACTGTTGCTTAGAAAATCTTTTCTGATGGTTAGTTCTTATACTCCTAAAAATTATTCAGACTTTAATGTTTGTTTCTTTCCTCTGCAAAGAGCAGCTTATTTTTTCCACTTCTTCCTCTCTACTCAGCAGTATCAAATTCCTGGTTATGTTTTGTCCCTTACCAGTTTCTACTTTTAGTTACTCATCCCTTCAGTCCAGAATATTTTTGCTAAAGGAATTTTCATTACTTGTCATTTCAGCTGTGTCTGCCACTGCTGCTATTATAAGTCCTGGATGTCAAAACTCTTCTTTACTAGTTGCCCTTGGGACATTGGTCTTAAACTGCTTATTTCATGAAGTAAAACTGAGTATTTAGCCACCAACATTTCCCTCAAATATTTAGCTGTTATGCTGAAGTGCAGAACAGTTTCTAAGATAGCAAAAAACTGCATATTTTTAAGTCATGGTATTCACCAAGAATCGATGGAGTCACCTGAAGAGAACCTTGTTGCTCACTCTGCTTTAACACTAAATTTAACAGTTGTATTGTTTTCTCTAATAGTAATCCATTATGATTTGCCATTTTAGTTCTGCTGCTGTATGTTCTTGAGAGAGAGACTGCTAGTTTAGTGAATAAAAATGTAGACTCTGGAACTGGATTGTGAGGGTTCAGATCTTGGCTCTGCCATTTATTAGCTATGTGCAATCTAAGTTATATCTTTGTGACTCAGGTTTACCTTCTGTAAAATAGGGCTAGCAATAGTCCCTGCCTCACAGTATTAATGAGAATCAAATCAGGTAATCTGTGTGAAGCACCGGCACATAGTGCTCGGTAGGTGTTTGCTCTTATTACAATCTCTCTTAGGCCCCACTTTTGAGAAGCTACCTGCATTTCCCTCCAAACAACATTTTAATAACCATCTCTTCCCCAGATTAATTTCATGAAACCATTTCAATTATTAAATGAAGTGGAAATTGTTGCCTGCTTTACATTTTTAATTCATTATCTAACCAGCATACTAGAAGCAAGGGTGTAAGGTCCTAAGTATGCAGTGTGTGGTCTGTGGACCAGCAGCAGAGGCTCACCTTGGAGCTTATTAGAAATCTCAGGCTCCATCCCAGTCCTACTGAATGAGAACCTTCATTTTAATAAGATATTTATGCACATTAAAGTTTGAAGTACCCTCTTCAGGACTGCCAGAGTGGTGTCATAAGGAATTTCAGAAAAATGTTGCGTGTTTTATTCCTTTTTCCCCCTACTTAAGTATAAACTGGTTTCTTTTAGGCAGTGTACCATGGGTTATTGCAAGGATCATAATCAAAGTGAATGTGAAACCTATTTGGTTTTCAAAAAATTATTATAGTTTCTTGCCTATTGTGTAGAATCGCCTCATGCCTGGGCTCATCAGGAACAAATGTATCATTTAGTTATTAAAATGCCATTGCCCACTTAGAAATAACTAGATAATCTTAAATTCTAGTTTAGTATATCAGTTACACATTTGAACTCTGATGATTTCTTATTGGAAACTAATTTTCATGAAGAGAATATGATCAGGATTTTTCGTTATTAAAACAGGTGAAATACAAATACAAATACAAAATTGGCATTTAGCTGGTCACATTTAAAAAATATTTTCTGCTTTCTTTACTAAAGTAAACTATCTCAAATCTCAAGGGAAAATGTTTAACTCTCTTCCCAGTTAGGAAAAAAAAGTGCAGCTGGTAGTGTTAATTTAACAGGTGTAGGAATGCTACGATTTCTAGAATTTGACATTTTCAGAGATCGAGAATTACTATATTTTGTAATTGGAAATACTACTACTAAAAACAGAATGCTGTAAATAGAATGATGTCATTTGTTTCCAAAGACTATCAATATACTAGAGTGATACAAAAATAATAATAAAAGCAAGTATTTCATGGCAAACTGTGGGGATAAGGATAGGACTGTAATCCATGAGTTATCTCGAGGTAAAAGCTGTAGTTGCAAGCACCACCAGCAAGTATTCTCCGGGCAAATGAGAGATTTATTAAAAAAATTTTTAATTTTTCAATTGCAGTTGACAAACCCTATTAGTTTCAAGTGTACAACATAGTGATCGGAAAGTTATATAACTTATGAAGTGATCACCCCGAAAAGTC